GTGATATCTGCTGGGCTCGTTGGTAGTGCGCTGTCTGGTTGGGACGGCAGGTCCGGTAAGTCCGGACGCACTGCTGGTGTTTCGACTAGCATTTCCGACAGAAGTGGAAACTAGGCCTTGCTTGGTCAATTGGGTGCGACCAATGATAATATGCATGTTTTTTCTCCTGTGCCCGGTGTACTAGCGGGAAGGGAGGAAAGACGTACACAACTAAGTGGGTCCATGAAGTTAGCAAAGCGATCCTGGCCCAGGCTCCTGGAGTCGACAGGAGTGTTACGTACGAGCTTGGTGTTCTCCATTGGATTCCAGGCACCAAAGGAGGATTTGCTCCGCTAGGACTGACAACGACGGGGAATGCCCCCCCCCCCTTTATGGAGCATGACCCTGTGGTTAAGAACTATGGGTAGAAAGCGTGGTAGTGCACTTTACACTGCTTTCAGTTCGAGCCGGTTGATATGGTAGTCCCGAAACTAATGCGGGAGCCATATCCTTGGGCTTGTTCGTCAAATAGATGCGATCCCCAACCCTGGGGTAGGCATCTGTTACCAGAGTCATACGGCGAGTGGGTCCAAGGTTGGCCAGTGATGACCACCAGGGCAGGGCTTCCTTCACTTGGTCCGAGATCAAAACCCGCCTATCTAGTTCCCATAGGAGAGCTCAACATTGTAACAACAAACATTGTACCGGGCGGCTAAAGTCATCATTCCGATGATCCACATTAGTTCTCTGAGGGACACTGAGGGAACGCTGACTAGACGTTCGGCTAGGCTGCTTAGCGCTAAGCAACAAGCTTGAAATAGCTATACCAAGCTTACCTCTGTGTCAAACTCCATGCCAAGAGACACCAACTGCGCAGTGGGTCGAGATGGGACTTGTCGATTTACTAACGAGCCCAACTAGTGAAGTAAATCCTGTGTTAGCCTGAAGCGTTTGGCTATTAACCCCTTGTCTGGGTTGTGTAGTAACCAGTCGTCTAGGTACGGATTGAGGTGTACCGACATTGGTGAAGCAGCAGCACTACCTGTTTCATCACTCTGGTGAACACGTAGGACGCTGTGCATAACCCTAGCAGGGGGCACCTGAAATTTGAATACTTGGCCCAGCTGGGCGATTGGAAGGAGATGGCAACTCGCTGGGTGCATCCCTATGTGCAGGTAGGCCTAGCTTAAGTCTAGTGGGGCTAGCCAGTCGAAACGGAGGATGGAGAGAAGGACCCTGAATGGCGTCTCCATGTGGAACCATTCAAGGAGCACGTACTGATTCAGTCTGCCAAGGTCCAGAACTGGACGCGCGCCACTTGTAGATTTTGGTACTATGAACACATTTGGGTAGAAGCATGGCCTTAGTTCCGGCTGATCTACCCTGTGTATGGCGCCCTTTCCCAGCAAAACTGCTACTTCCTGCCTGATTGCTTCCGCCTTTCGGAAGTCCTCTGGCAGTGCCCAATAGGGAAGACACTGACAGGAGAGATGGAGATTTAAGCGGTATTCCGTACCAGGATGTCACCACCTGGAAAGGTACAAGGACCAGTCACCCGCTGTCTCTCAAACCGGACTACACCGGTGTAATCTGTGTACGACAGGGATATGTGGCCAAGGGTTCAGCAGTTGCGAGGGGGGTGCTCTCTTCTCCCATGAGGTCAGTTTCCACAAGGCCTGAAGTAGTCACTAAGTTGTGACCTGGCCACTCGCCAAAAACATGCCTGTCCCCCGGTTGCAGAGGTAAGCGTCAAAACATGCTTCCCCCTCTGCCGGGGTGGACGACCGCCAGAGGAGGGTGGGGAGCCACCACCTGACCCTTTCCTCCCTGGGGGCACGCCGCCACTCTTTCCTACCATGGAAGAGTATGAGCACTTGCCTCCTGGCTGACTTTGGCTAGCGGACGACGCCCTAGGGCATTGTGTTTTCTGTGCTTAGGGTGCCCTCCGCTTACCCTTGGCAGGGCCAATTGGCTAGCGGATTTGATTTGAACCCTCTGGTTCATTGCACTCTGAAGCTCCGAGACTGTACCTGCCATTCCCCGAACCAAGAGGGTGGAAGATGTACAGTCTGCATCACTGAGGTGGGGAACGTACCCACTGACTCAGTTTGTCAGCAAAAACACATGCGTCTAAGGCCCTGTCTTGTAGCACAGTAGTGGCCCCAGCTAAGAGAGCCATGTGACACTAGGAAATGTCGCACGTAGATGTGCGGTGGCCAACCAGTAAATGTGCCACCTGGTCTCGGAGGCTGGTACGTTCTGCTTCCAGGTCTCCAGAGTCCAGGGCGCGCACAATAATGCACTCAAGCAACTCTGCCCTCAGGGTTGGATGGTTCGTCTCTGATTGAGCTGGCGAGAACGCCCATGGAACGCGGCTGTCCCCCTTTGCCCAGTTTGCCAAACAGAAATTCGTGGTACCGGGGTCTGGGGAAGGAGTCTTGGGATCCGGTTGGGGGCGTTTTGGTCTCATCCCACACTGTGGGGTCTGATCTCGAAACCACACCGACTGGGTAGCGTTTGGTCCAGCGGGAAGTGTTGCCTAAGGTTTTTCACCACCTGGGGCCTTAAGCGTTACCTCCTCCGCGGCTGACCAACATCCGCCCATCAACACCGTTTGCGCACCCTGCGCCCCACTCCGCACTCAGACGGACAGGGAGAGACATGCCGACAGGGCTGCTTGGATCCTGATGCCCATGATCCCATAAGCGTTGAAGCTACCTTAGGTGGTCACCTTAGGATCAAGGGTGGGGTATTTACATTGTATTACTAAGATCAATGATACTCTGCATCACCCCAAAAGCGTGGCTCACCGAGTCATTATGAATGGAAAACTCTGAAGGACCGGCGTTGTGTGCCCTGCCCTGAAAGCCCAGCCCCGAGATCCGAGCCTTGGCTACCAGTACCCCATTGGCATTCAGTGCCTGAGGCTCCAGAGGAGGCCTGGTGCAATTAACCTGAGCCTCAGCCTCACCCAAATTAGTGGGAGAGCCACGGCTGGGAACCGGGCGTTCCCTGGAAAAGACGTGTTTGAATGCAAACATGCTTTTGTGTTTCTTCCTGCTTGCCCACCGAGGGCCGCAGTGGAGACAGCTCGCTCCGACTGCATCTTATCTACCCGGCCTGCCAGGAACGCAATTGTCCTGACAGTCTTTCGAACAAAGCCCTAAAGTCGGAGGCAAACCCGGCGCCGTGCAAGGAAGGGTCCACAAAGGGCCCCATAGGAGGAAAGCCTCCAGGGGCACAGCTTCGATGCAGCCGGTAAAATCGGGTAAACCACCGCCTGAAAAAACAGACTATGAGGATGCCCTCCGATCAGCGGGGGGAGACCAAGTAAAAATATCTACCTCCACCATCGGGGCCTCCTACTTGACGTCCCAGTACACGAAGCACCAGTAGCCGAGTGTGAGGCCTTCCCACTCATGCCGAACACGCAACTCACTTTAACCAATTTTTTTACTGGATGCGCAACCTTGCTGTGAAGAAACGAGCGACGCGGTCAGTCTCAGCGATTTTGATGGCTCTGAAAGAAAAATTCCAGGCCACAGAACTCCAGTGAAAAACACACGCCTTCACGGCAAAAACCCTGAATCCACGCACACAGCTACAACAAAAGTATTTCCGAAGCGGGACTATGCTGGTAAATTCTGAATATAACCACTGCACAGTCGAC